GGGAAAGGGAAAGGGAAAGGGAAAGGGAAAGGGAAAGGGAAAGGGAAGGCAAGAAGAAGGATACAAGAGCAACAAGTTCAGACTGGGCAGGCCTGGGGCTGGTCCCGGCAGCTCCGTCGCGCAGCCACCCCGCAGCCACCCGAGCGGAGCCCGGGCACGGCCGCCCCGCACGAAGGTCACCTCGGGACCGGCGCTGCGGGCCCGGAGCACCGCCTACGGAATGAACTTGCAGCATTTCGTTACAGCCCGCGCCGCGCTGCTCGGCCGCATAATGAGCCGGGCCTGTATACAGGCATTCATTCCGGTCTGAATGTAGTGTTGAACCTTCTCTGTGCCGGAGCGGTTTGATGGTTTGAATGGAGCTCCCTGGTGGGACATTGCTCTCCGCAACTGTGCCTCTTTGGATGACTGTTGTTCCTTAACATTCATGCCTCATTACGGGGCAACCTGTTAAATGGCGGAGAACAGTGTGCCAAAGTGTTCCGCCGGGGCACCGGCAGTTCAGCGCTGGGCATAAATAAGGGCCGCCGCGGAAAAGAACTTTCGCCGCGGCTTTGGGCAAAAGTGATTTCGCTTTAAGGCGTCTCCGGCAGCCCGGTTTGAGTATATAAAGAGCGATAGCGGAATGTTTTGATTGAGTCTAAACATTGTCTTTGAATAAAGCTGAAACCATGTAATTAATGTGTCTTTTTAATAAGGGACAATACGGCCGTTCAAGCTATTTAATTTCATTTAATTTTCCATCCCATTTGCTCCAAAGGCTGCCTTTACTTTTAACACCCGGCCTTTCATGCCGCAGCTTGCTCCAGTGGGCACATTAGATCGGTTTCACCCTTCCTTTTTAGGGAAGGAAAAATAAAAGAAAATGTGGTTCCTTTCCTCTTTTGTGGACAATTTATTTCACTTGGGGAACTTCAACTTTGAGCCACGGAACAGAATAAAAATCGGAGAACTGGTGTGAATGCTTCCCGAGCGAGGGCTTTTCTTTGCCGAGTGGATGGGAACCAGCCACAATTGGCTATATTAATAAATAACTTTCCTCACAGCCGGCCTTTACATGGTCCTATTGATAAAATTGTTCGCGTGTCGTTCACGCTCTTTGACTCATTAAGGCCCGGCCCGGCGGCTCCCGAGGCGCAGCAGTGGGGTCCCCCGGCCGCCCGGAGCCCTCCGCCGCCGCCGCGGCTCCGGGATTCAGCGCGGGTCTCATCCCAAAGCCGCTGGGCCAGAGGTTACGGGGACATGTTCATGGCTTAAATTTATCGCCCTCCGCTTCTTGTTTATCCTTTTCGCCCCATTCACGCCGCTGATCAAAGGGGTCATCTTCAGTTCCCCACATCCTCTCCCCCCGCCGCCCATCCCCGCTGCAGTGAAAAGGAATCCATCCCTTTCCCGGGACGGTCCCGGCGAGCCGCGATCGATAATCATCAATGCCGCCGGGGACAGGCGCGACATTTATCTCGTGCGCACGCAGATGGAGCGTTATTAAACGCACAACCACGGGCCGCGTTGATTGAGTGCCCGGAGCGGCGATGGCAGCGTTTCGGTCTCACGTCGCCTCGTCCCGTCCCGTCCCGTCCCCCATCCCGTCTCGTCCCGTAGCGTCCCAATCCGTCCCATCTCTCTTCTCTTCGTCTGGCCCCGTCTAACCCCGTCCGTCTCGTTCCGTCCAACCCCATCCCGTCTCGTCCCGTTCCTCTCTGTCCCGCCCCGCTCCGTCTCGTTCTGTCCCGTCCCACCCTGTCCCGTCCAACCCCGTCCCATATCGTCCGACCTCGTTCCTTGCAACCCGTCCAACCCATCCTATCTCACCCCATCGCATCCCATCCCTCCTCATCTTCTCCCATCCCACCCAGTCGGGCAAACCCCGCCGCAGCGCCGGAACTCCCCGTGCTGTCCCGGTGCCCTCCAGACCCCCGCTCTCTGCTGCCGCGGGGCTATGGGAGACAGCGCCCGGAGGGATCAGCGGTCGGTACCGCCCCACGTCCGTCCCCATACGGCGGCTCGGTGGGGCAGGAGAAGGGTGAGAGCAGCCCTCCGCTTCGGGGAATTGTCTGAGTTGCGCTGTGGCCTCTGAGAGGTGACAGCCGTGAGTGCGGTGAGCAAATTCCGATGGAAGCCGCATGATGGGCGCGTGGGAAGCAGCTTGCAGGGCTGTATCTTGCAGAGAGCCCAAGGACCTAAGAGGAGCAGGCTCAGTTACACGGCTCCTACCGCCGGATACACATCTATACGCTGCTTTCTTTCTTTTTTTCCCCTTCGCTTTTGAGATTTATTCAGCGTGACTATTAAAAACACAGCAGAAAAGACCAAAAAAAAGCTCCGTACCTGCTGCAGCTTCTTCTGAAATCAATGGATCAAATCTGCGACCGCGACTTCTCCCCAAGGAGAAATGCTCCGGACTTTCCCTTTGGGGAGTTACAAAGTGTGGAGATAGAACGTTTGCAGCCGCGAATTAGGCAGGGCTGAAAAAGAAAGAGTGGGAAATCTCACTTTTCCCTTTATTCCTCATACCTGGGTGGCTGCGTGTGCGCTAAAACACTGCAAAACCCGCGCACTTTTCTCAATTCCTGAGAAATCCCTGCGATTTTACTCGCCCCGAGCCATAACCCCACCTAATCCCAGCGCTTCTCTTTATCTTAATTAAAGCCCCGATAAGAGCAGGATGCTTTCGGTCTGCTTCATTGTGGCTGTGAGTGCAGCCGCTATTTGTCGGGTTTCACCTTCCAAGGCGATGCCGGCGCAGGAGACCGCAGCGCGGAAGGGACCTGTGGCTGCCACACATTCGGGCCGTGCGCTGCCCGCGGAGCTCCGCGCTGCCCTCGGGCCGGGCTCTGCCTCCCGGTGATGTCGTTTCTGTTCCCGGCGCAGCCCTTTCCCTGTCGCAGCCCCCCGGTGCCCGCAGAGCAGAACGTCGTTTTGCGCAACACATTTGGTGCCGTTCCCTTAAGGATCGAAGCAGAGCTAAAGGGATCACCGGCCTGAACCCGATTCACTGAAATGGTAATATGGTCGTCCTTTAAAAAAAAAAAAAAAAAAAAGAAAAAAAAAAAAAAGTGTAGGTATTTTCTGGTGTTTTCCCATCAAGTACCTGCCCAACTTCTGTATGGCACACGCCGGGGATCAATAGAAGTTAACAAGTCCTCCAAACATTCCCCATCTCTTTGTTTAATCGCCTTTACAATAAAGCCGAGGGGAGAGAATTAAAAATCTTTGAAGTATATTAAACCTCAAAGGGCTCAGCCAAGTAGACTTAAAGTAGTCACTTATTTTCCAAAACTGGTTTGTCGGGGAACAATAAAAGGAAGCAAAATTTATGGGGAAATTATACAGTGGATTTGTCACTTAAAATATCGTAACTGTCGCGGGGACAATACCCCATGCTGAGGATTAATGGTCCCTCCAGACCTTTGATTCATCAGCGCCTTTTCTTTGCCCTTGACAAATTGGATTTTTAGGAATGGGAAGGTCGCCCGGCCCATTGTTCGCCGCCCATTCACAGCGCCTGATTATGCGGGAGGGTGAGGGAACGGCTCCATGTGACCCTCGCGGATGGGACCCGCAGCTGCTCGAGGAGCCGACTCTCTCACCGCGGCCCCGCAGCACCCGCCCGCCGCGGGGTCCCCCTCCTGCGCCCATTCAAAAGCCGCCCCGCACGCGCGGCCGCGTCACTCTGCGGGCGGAGATACGCCGCGCTCGTCCTCCTCGGCCCCGGCCCCGTTAAGTGCTCGGGGTCCCCAGCGCTCGGCCCCACAGGCAGCGATGCACGCGAGCCGGGCTCCGGCCATCAGCGTGAGCGCCGAGAGCTGCATCCCCGCCGGGCTGCGCCTGGGGCCCGTGCCGGGCACCTTCAAACTGGGCAAGTACCTGTCCGACCGCCGAGAGCCGGGACCCAAGAAAAAGGTATTTCCCTCCTGTCTGCCGCACCGCCGGACCTCGCTTTGCGCTCAGCTTGGGAGAAGAAGCTGCTTTCCCCTCTCCCTTGCCGCTCCTCTGCCTGCCACGGCCGGACAGCCTTACCCCTTAGCCCCTACCCCTTAGCCCCTACCCCTTAGCCCTTACTCCTTAGCCCTCACCCGGCTTCGGAGGCGCTCCCGTCCCGCGGAACTGCTCTCCTCGGAGCCCACGGCGCACGGCCGGGAGCGGGGAAGCTCCAGGGCCCAGAAGCAGAGCTCAGAACCGCCCTGTGCCGGCCCCGGGCTCGGACCTACGGGGGATGCTCGTCTGCGAGGCTGTGGGTGCGGGCGGAAAGCCCAGACCGCCTCCCACCCCCTGCGCGTTCCGCTCGGGTTTTTAATGCCCTTTAATTGTTTTTAAACGCTCTGCCAGCCCGCTCAAATTTATTTCTCATCTGGCTCCCTCAGTTCGTCGCTCTAGAGCGCTTTGTTCCGATGACTTTTATTGCACGGTCATTCGGCGGATGGGCACTTTATTTTCCCTTTGTACGGGTAAGCAGGTTATGAAGGATGGCTCTGCTGGGACCTCGGCGCTGCGCAGCACCC